CAGGGCTGTTCCTCTCGCAGCCTCGGGCTCCATTTGGCTGCCGCAACTCCATCCCCGCCATCCCTTGGATTTGCCCTTCCCAGCCCTTGGGGGTTCCGCCTCAACCCCCCCGTCCCCATCCCCCACCTGTTCCAGGTCACCCCCTGAGTGTCGGGGGCGGTTGATGACATTGCCATGGCAACAGTCGCTCCCGACGTGTCGCGACAGCGGCTCCGGACGCGCCGTCACAATGGGTTCAGAGCCATCGGCACCGCCGGCCCTGTCACACGGTGACAGGAGGCTCCAGGACACGGTCACACCTCCCACGCTCCCTGAAGTTCCATGGCAGCCGCGACTGCCGGTACCGGAGCCCGGCCCCTCCGGCCCGGACGCTCCTCCCGGGGGTCCCTCCTCCCCCGCCGGCGGCCGCTCTCCCCCCCGGGACTGCAGCCTCTCCTTCCCAAGGTCTCCCCATCCCGCTCTCCCCCGAGCCCCCAGACCCTCTGTCCCCTCCGGCCGTGCCCCCGAGGCTCCAGAGCTCCCCCCGGGACCCGGCGGTGTCCGGGGAGCGCTGAGTGTGGGGATTTCGGGTTCCTCACATCGCCCTTCGCCGCAGGTCACGGGCTCCAGCAGTGATCCCATCGTGATCCTCCGGGATGTGCAAAAACACCCGGAACTGCGGCCCTCCGTCAGATACAAACCCAAAACCACCAGAATCATCACCAAGGACGTGATCCGGGAACTCGTGTAAGGCTGTACCCGAGCCCTGAGGGCTTTTGGGCGAATGGGTGTCACTGCACCATCCCAAAATCTCCGGGCAGCAGGGATTGGCGGTGTGCCCGGCGCTCCTGCCCCCGCACCCCAGCCTGGTGCCACTTTCAGCACACTTGCCCTTCCTGCCTCCCCCCAGGCCGGGAGAGCCGGGTCCCCACGGCTCCCCCAGCGCTTCCTGCCTTGCTCTGGGCTGCCTCGGTGGCCGAGGGGGCGGCTCGGGCAGCTCAGGGAACACGGGAAGCCCTTGGGCTCTGGGTGACACTCAGCTCTCTCCCCGTGCTCCCCAGCGTTCCCCAGGAGAAACCCCAAGCGTGTCTCATCATCGGGGAGAAGGAATATGAGAGGATCAAGGAGTCAGCTCGAGCCCCGAGCGAGGAGGAGCGCCGGGACAGGCTGAAGAGCCTGAAAGCCAGACAGGACGCTGCTTTCGTAGGCATCTCCCCTCCCGCTTGCCCCTTTTGCCGCTCGGCGTTGCGGGGCTGGTGGCTTCCCCCAGGGGCTCCCGTTTGTCCCCCGTGTTTTGGGGCTCAGGGGAGGCTGCCGGGCTCGGGGCTCGAGGGAGAGCTGGGCAGCATCCCTGGGATTGTGCCCGGCGCTCCCGGCCTTGCACGGGCACGGGGTGTGTGGCCAGAGGGGTGCGAAGGGGGGCCCACGGCCGGGCCAGGGCCCCTGGAGCCCGTCCCGTCCCCGCTCCGTGCCGGGAGCGCGGCGGCTCCAGCGGGAGCCCTGCGAGCCCTCGGGAAGGCGGCCGCGATTGGGCAGCGCTCTCTGTCCTCGCAGGAAGCCCTGCAAAAGGCCAAGAGCGAGGAGCAGAGAAAGGCAGAGCTGCAGGACGAGAGGGAGCGGCGGAGAGACGTGGAAGAGGAGCTGCAGCAGGAGAAGCAGCAGCTGCTGCAGCGGGCGGCCAGGATGAGGCTGGAGCAGGAGGAAGAGATCCGGGCGCTGAACACGGTAGGGCCAGCGCTCCCCGCTGCCGGCCGGCACCGCCCGAGCCTGCCCTGCTCCCCGTGCTGCCGGGCCCTTCCTCTCCTTGCCTCGGCCCCTGCTCCCCGTGTCCCGGAGCGGCTCCGAGCCACAGAGCCCTCTCGTCCCCACAGCTGTTCCTGGAAGCCAAGTGCAACATGATCTGGGACAAGCAGGTCCTGGAGAAGCGCACGATCCGCAAGGAACTGGCGGACGAGGAGAAGCGGCTGGACAAGATGATGCTGATGGAGTGGGAGAAGGGCAGCGAGGTGCAGGAGGAGCTGGAGTGCCAAAGGAAGCGGGAGCTGCTGAGGTGGGCAGGAGGCTCCCTGCTGCCCATGGAGGCACCCGGGCCGTGCCAAGCCCAGCAGCCCTGCCCGTGCCGGCGTTCCCAGCACGGGGAGCGCGATGGGGCCAGAGGGAGCCTCCTGCTCTCCCGTCGCCAGAGCCAGGCAGGACATCGCCAAACAGATGGAGCAGAACGCAGAGGAGCGAGCGCTGAGGGAGGAGGAGCTGTACCAGGAGGGCCAGAGGCACCTGGAGCGGCTGGAGCAGATGAAGAGGGAGGATCGCAAGGTGGGAGCAGGGAACAGGGGGCTGCAGGGAGCTTTGCAGGCGGCTGCAAAGGCTCTGGCAGGGCTGGCTCAGCCACACGCGGGGCATGGGGACAGCAGGCAGCAGCAGCAGAGCTCTGCGCCCTTGGGGACTCTGCGGCAGCCCCGGGACGTGGCCCAAAGCCTCCCTGGCCCGAGCGAGGACAAGGAGGAGGGAGCACTCGGCCCCGTGGCCTCCAACCGTGCGGGCCATTTCCAGGCCTGGCAGCAGAAACAGGAGCGACGAAAGCAAATCCATGCCGAGATTAAACAATTCAACGAGGAGAGCCAGAGGCTGCAGGAGGAGCAGCGGGAGCGGGAGAGGCTGGAGGAGGAGCGGGCGCTGGAGCAGCAGCGGCAGAAAGATGTAAGAGCAGTGGGGTCCTGGTGGGCTGGGCAGGGGCTGCAGGAGCTGCCCTGAGGCTCTGTCCCATCCTGGGGCTCTGTCCCATCCTGGGGCTCTGTCCCTCACCCCGAGCTCTGTCCCTCACCCCGGGCTCTGTCCCACACTCCAGGCTCTGTCCCACACTCCAGGCTCTGTCCCTCACCCCGGGCTCTGTCCCACACTCCAGGCTCTGTCCCACACTCCAGGCTCTGTCCCTCACCCCGGGCTCTGTCCCACACTCCAGGCTCTGTCCCACACTCCAGGCTCTGTCCCTCACCCCGGGCTCTGTCCCACACTTCAGGCTCTGTCCCACAATCCAGGCTCTGTCCCTCACCCCGGGCTCTGTCCCACACTCCAGGCTCTGTCCCTCACCCCGGGCTCTGTCCCCATAGGAGCGCGATGCTGCCTTGGAGGCGGAGAAGGAACGGCTGCGCCTGGAGAAGGAGAAGGAGCTGGCCCGGCTCAGGGTGACGCAGGAGCGGGTCCAGGACTGGCTGGCAGAGCGGGTGAGTGGCCCAGGCACGGGGGACGCTCCCCTGGCACCGTCGCTGTCCCCGGCCCGGCCAAGGGGCAGCGGCCCCGGGTGCGGGGGGTCGGCGGGAGCAGCCCCCGGAGCCGGGGCACGTCCTGGAGCGGTGGCGGCAGAGGCAGAGCCACGGCCCCGGGGGGAAGCCCAGCCCTGCCCCCTGTTTGGGCAGGATGCTCTGAGGGCCAAGAGGAACCAAGAGGCCGCCGAGCGGGAATGGCGGCGGCAGGAGCTGGAGAAGGCGCGGAAGAAGGCCGAGCTGGAGCAGCAGCTGAGGCAGGAGCGGCTGGAGCAGGTGGCCCAGAAGGAAGAGTACGTGGCCATGCAGCTGGAGCAGGACCGCCAGGAGTTCCAGAGGGTGCTCAGGTGAGGCACACGGGGCCGAGGCCAGGCTCAGCTCGTGGCCGGGGCGCTCCCGCTTGCAGCCGGTGGCTGCGGGGGCTCCAGCGGCAGCCCAGGCGCTGGGCCAGGGCCCCTGGGGCAGCTCCGGCTCTCCCGCAGGGCCCAGCAGGAGCAGCTGGAGCGGGAGAAGCTGCAGTGGGAGCAGCGGCAGCTCCGGCAGCGCGCTCACGCCCAATACCTGCGGAGGCAGATCCAGGAGCTCCAGCAGCAGCGGCAGCGGCAGCGGGAGGCTCTGATCGAGGAGGGCCGGCAGCAGCAGCAGGAGGCTCGGCAGCGCAGCCAGCGCCTCGCCCACTTCGGGCAGCAGAAGCTGCAGGAGCTCAGGTCAGGGGCTGCCGGTGCCGCCGCTTCCTTCCTGCGCTCCCCGAATCCTTCCTGCGCTCCCCGAATCCTTCCTGCGCTCCCCGAATCCTTCCTGCTGTCCCAGCCTGGGCCCCCTCCCGGCTCCCTCGGCATCCTCAGCAAACGGGGGCCGCTGCAGGGCCACGCTCCCGCATCCATCGGGAGCCTGATGCCTTCTTTCCTCTGCAGAGCCACCGGCATGCCCGAGAAGTTCTGTGCCCAGGTGGAGCGCAAAGCCCAGAAGCGAGCCAAGGCAATCCTCTCCTAGGCCCAGCCCCGCCAAGAACCAGCTCCAGTTCCCCACCCATTTGGGGCTCCATTTCCATTTCCATTTTTCCAATAAACATTGTTTTGGAGAAGATGGCATTTCCCATCCTTCCCTGGCCTCAGGGCTGTTTGGGAGGAGCTGCCCACGGGGCTGGAGGAGCCTTGAGGTTCCTTGTCCCACCTGCTCCGCTCTGGGGCTGCGCTGTGGGTTTAGGTTGATTTTCCCATTTGCCATCTGAAAGAGGCTGGAAGAAACTTCTAGACCTGAATCACCCTGGTGGGATGGGAGCATGGTGGCAGGAGGAGATGGACCAGGTGCTGAAGTTGTTAGGAAGCTTCCCCCTGAGCAAACCCAGATCCCAGGCAGGACTGAGTGTTGGAACATCCTTCCATAAACCAACCTGTGCTTCTTCCTACCTGACCATGGAGAAGATGGGAGATGCTGAGAGAGGAAATCTCCCCATGCCCTGGCAGGGGAGTGCAAGAACTGAAGGAGAAGGGAAAAGGGAAGCCAGTGAGAGCACAGTGTGTGTATATATAAATAAATGAATACACAAATAAATAATAAATATAATATAATATAATATAATATAATATAATATAATATAATATAATATAATATAATATAATATAATATAATATAATATAATATAACACATATAAACAAGTGAATATATTAAATATATACATATATAAATATAAATATTTTATACATATTATATTTTATAATTTTATATAAATAGGTATTGATATAATAACATTATTATATATTCTTTTTTATATTATTTATATTATTTATATAGAAAAATATATAAAACATAGAAATATATAAAAAGATATTAAATAAATATAAATATTAATATATACAATATATAAAATATATACAGTAAATATATAAAATATATATATGTATAGAATATATATATGTATATAAGTATAGAAAAATACATATACGTATATGTATATGTACATATAAAATAGTGTGTATATATATTAGAAGTCTTAAGTTCGATATTGGTATGGGAAAATTGAGGGTTCTCAGTGAATTTTTTCCCACTGTCCTGGTGAAGGTGGCGGGAGGGAGTGACTGCAGCGATCAAAGACCACGGGAAGAGCGTGCGCTGCTGCAGCAGAAGGACCGGGAGGGGAATGAAGGCTCGGAGCAGCTTTTCCTGGCGGGCTGGCCCAGCCCGGAGCCGGGAGCTGTCCCGGGTTCAGCTCGGCCATGGAGCTCTGCCTGCGGATCCCGGCCGGCCCCGCTGAGCCAGCCCCGGGCTCCCGGCCGGACCCGCTGAGCCAGCCCCGGGCTCCCGGCCGTACCCGCTGAGCCAGCCCCGAGCTCCGAGCCGGCCCCGCTGAGCCAGCCCCGGGCTCCCGGCCGGACCCGCTGAGCCAGCCCCGGGCTCCCGGCCG